TAAATCTATGGATAGACTAAATGACATTACTTTTGCTGTTCACCATCTTGCTCCTGACAAGTTGTAAGCTTCTATCAATAAACTCCCAAATTATTTTTACATATGTGACTGAATTGTCTTCCCCCAAATGAGCACAAGTCCTCCCCTAACTATTCCCCAAGGTCTCTTCATCCTTTTAACTGTGTTGCATGCTCATTGCTAGGTGTGGTTGATTTTCTGGACAAGGGCATTATTTTACTTGGTTCTTCTTTGACTTTGTCTTGTCATATACCATTACAGCCTATCAAGAACTCTTTTTTTTTGGGCTGGGGATGTGGCTCAAGTGGTAGCGCACTTGCCTGGCATGCGTGCGTCCTGGGTTCAATCCTCAGTACCATATACAAAAATAAAGATGGTGTGTCCGCCGAAAACTAAAAAATAAATATTAAAAATTTCTCTCTCTCTCTTTAAAAAAAGAAAAAAAAAGAACTTTTTTTTTTTTTTGGATTGAGAAATGAACTCAGGGGTGCATAACAACTAAATCAACAACCAAGCTATATCCCCAGTCCTTTTTAAAAATTTTAAATTTTGAGACAGGGTCTTAGGGCCTTGGTAGGTTGCTGAGTGTGGTCCCAAACTTGCAATCCTCCTGCTCAACCTCCAGAGTCACTGGGATTACAGCCTCAGCATAAATTACTATACCCAGCTATAAAGAACTCTTTGTATCCTAAATTTGTCATTTGAGAGGGTACTCTCCTCATATCACCCTAACTTTATCTTCTTTATGCTTCTCAATACCTCTCCCCCACTAATATGCCACTATTCCCCCTAAGTAAGATTCTTGAAAGCAGATACTGTGTGTAGTGTATTCAAATAAAACTTACCTGCAGTATCTAATACACTATGGGTACTTGCACAACATGGATGGGCTGATCATGGCAAGCAGATGGTAGCCTTAGGACAATTCCAGAGGACATCACGGAGAGATTACACTCACACTCTATACTATGTGAACTATGCTCCCTGAAATTATGCAAAACAGCCCCCTGGGCAGATTCAGAGATGTTATTTCTGCTAGGTACTGCTTCTCAAGGAGATTCAGACTCACTAAGGGATAGGTGTTCTCTTTAGAAGGCTGCCTATAGAATTTTCAAATTTGAAATAAGACATCAAAAGAAGCCAAGCTCCAGCACTTTGAGGCTTATCCGAACAGGAAGCTATTGCCCCAGGTCAAGATACAATGTACCTCCACACGAGGTGTATGTACCTTAATGCTAGTCAAAAACAAGGGCCTTTTTTTTTTTTTTTTTGGTTACTGGGGATTGAACCCAGGGTCTTGAGCATGCTACCACTAAACTATATCCCTCATGAACTCCTAACTTGTATGACCTTGGGCAAATTACTGAATTTTGCCTACAAAATGCTGATGATTCTGAAGATCTCTTTCCATTTCTTCTTTTAAAAATAACCCAATTAATAAATGGGTAAAGGTTCTAAATAGACACTTCTGAAAAGAAGAAATACAAATGGTCAACAATATATATATAAAATATTCAACATCTCTAGCAATTAAGAGAAATGGAAATTAAAATTACACTGAGATTTCATCTCACTCCAGTCAGAATGGCAATTACCAAGAACAAATAACAACAAATGTTGGTGAGGATGTGGGGGAAAGGGGACACTCATTTATTGCTGGTGGGACTGCAAATTGGTGTAACCATAAGGAGACTGGTACAGAGATTCCTCAAAAAACTAGGAATGGAACCACCATTTGACCCAGTTATCCACTTCTTGGTATATATAAATTTTAAAGGATTTAAAATTAGCCAATCCTAAAAAACCCAAAGGCTGAATGTTTTCTGATATGTGGAAGCTAAACCCCAGCAAAGCGGGCAGAGAGAATAGAAGTTCAGTGGAATAGACAAAGGGGGATTAAGGGAAGGGACAAGGGGATGAGAAAAGGAAAGACAGTGAAATGAATCTGACATAACTTTCCTATGTACATAAATGAATACACCACAGTGAATCTCACCAAAAAATTAATTTTAAAAAATAACTACGGGTAGGGCTGGGGTTGTGGCTCACTGGTAGAGCGCTTGCCTAACGTGCGAGGCCCTGGGTTCGCTCCTCAGCACCACATAAAAATAAATAAAGGTATTATGTCCAACTATAAACAAACAAACAAACAAACAAACAAAAAACTATGGGTAAATGGCAGAAAGATTAATAGAGGGAAGGGAGTGGAGGGTGGGGAAAGGGAAGCAGAAGGAAAGGTACTGCTGAATTAGACTGAATTAGAACAAGACATATTCCATGTTTTTATAATTATGTCAAAATGGATTCTACTGTCCTATATAACTAAAAGTAACCAATAAAAAAGTATTGTAAATTAATAGTAATTTATAATTATATGTATTTATAGGCTTTGATTTACAAATGCAATGTAAAAATTCAGTCAAGCTAATTAACATCCATCATCTCAAAATTCTTATTTTTCGTGATCTGAACATCTGAAATACATTGTCTTCTTTTGGCAGGGGGTGGGGCTCTGGGAATTAAACCCAGGAGTGATTTACTACCCAAGCTACACCTCCATATATTTTTATATTTTTTTTTGAGACAGGGTCTCACTAAGTTGAGCAGGCTGACCTTGAACTTGTGATCCTTCTAACTTAGACTCACAAGTTGCTGGAATTATAGATATGTTTCACCAATACTGGCAAAATGTATGCTTTGTAATTTTGAAATGTACACTATACTTATTAACTGTATTCACCATGCAGTGCGATAGGTCATAAACATAACCCTGCAAATGTCTTCTTCCTCATGCCTGAGACTTTGTACTCTTTGATAGTTGCCTCATTCCCCTCAGTCTCCACCCACTGACAACTATCATTCTACTCTCTGCTTCTATTAGTTCAATTGTTTTAGGTTCCACATATAAGTGAGAACATGTGGTATTTGTCTTTCTATGTCTGGCTTATTTCACTTAAAACATTCTCCAATTCCATCCATGTGATAGCAAATAACAGAATTTTCTTCTTTTCAAAGACCCAATAATATTCCATTATACACATATACCACATTTTTGTATCCTTTCATCTGTTTGTTTATTTCACTGGGCTAATGTGAATAATGCTGCAATGAACATGGTAATGAAGATATCTCTTCAACAAACCAATTTTAAATCTTTTGATTAAATACAAAAAAGTGGGACCACTCAACTTCTCTTTTCATTGTTAAAGGTTTCTATGATTCTAGACAGTCACCTTGGAGAGGAAGGAAAGGAGTTCTGCCACTGAGCTTCATGCTGGGGCTCAGCTGTCACAAGGGAGAGTATTGGACTTGTCCCTGAAGATTCAACCTCTGAAATAACAGTGAGAGGCTAGAGAGAATTCTGATGATTGGAAAAAGATGGGTGGTACAGGTTCTTCTCATAGGATAAGCTACTCAGGAAGATTTGGAGGGTTTGATGGAATTGTTAGCAAAGAGCTCTCCTCTGGCCACAGAGCAGAGGAAGAAACAGCGGACCAGAGTATAAAGCTCCAGAGCGGAAAATTTCTGTTGGTGTCCAAACTAAGTTTTTGGCTTTCTGTGAGGCTTGGAAAGACTTATACTGATGTTTTAATCACCTGTTTAGTGTTCTGGAGACTCCTGTCAGCGGCCTCACTGAGCCTGCTCCAGCAGGCAGAGGGGAGCTGCTGGCTTATGCACCATGCTCTTGTGTGAGCTGTTTCTTTCCCATGGCTGTCTCCAACACTTCACAGCTCCCTCTGGGCCACTTAGATGGTACAAGCCAAACCTGTGAGCCCCAAAGGAGACTAAAGACACTCATTTTGGTTAACTTCTCACCAGATCTGAAGTCAGAAGGGACTCCTTAAAAGAGCCAAAATGCAGAGAGATAAGGCACAGTCTCTGGAGACCAGCGGTTGCTGGGGCAGTACAGAAGCTTGCCTTCTAGGACATTCACCACACAGACATACTGAAGCTCTTGGATATTTATCATGAAAGAAGTCCTCACAAGTGAAAAGAATACTGAAAGAACTCAGGGCAGGACAGTGTAAGAAACAAAAACTCATGAGCATGCAAGAAGCTAACTGAGGAGGTTCAGGGCAGTGGCATGTAGAGCATGTCAGCACTTTACTTCCTCTGCAATTTTCATTGGTCACAGCTTCTTGGTGGCTGTGGTGTATATGAATGATAGTTGCTAGGCATTAAGATATTTAATCTGATTATCACAGTAATCCTGTGAGACAGAAAAAGAAAGAGGAAACTGAACTGCAGAGAAAATGAATATTTTTTCAGTGTTGAAGCTGGGATTTGAACTCAAGTCTTTGTTCAGTCTTTATACTAGATGGCTCTCAAGAAGGTTATGGTACTTTTGCAGACAGAAAGGGACCTACTTCAAGCCCTTCTTACTTAAAGGATACAGTACCTGTCTTGGCTCAGCAGAGGCCCAAAGACATCCAGGACAAAATAAACAACTGTGATCAACTTGCATTTACATGAACAGAAACTGGGTGCTTGGCTAAGCTACAGGCAAGAGCAAAAATACTGAAATTAAATATTTACCAGGGTACCTGCCCTAAAAGAAGTTCTCTCATTCATTTATTTCATTTTCCTGGATGCATTATGGACAAGACCTCTACTGATCAGACAATGAGTTGAATGAATATATAAAACTAGTCACTGCTGGATGCTCAGGTAAGACCTATATATGAATGTCCCTTGAAAGTTCTCTGTGCTATACAGTCTTGAACTTATACTGGATGCACTATAAAGAATAAAGTCCAGGGGGGGCTGGGGTTGTGGCTCAGTGATAAAGCGCTTGTCTAGGGCATACAAAGCCCTGGGTTCGATCCTCAGCATCACATAAAAATAAATAAATAAAGTCCAGGGGCTGTGGCTGTGGCTCAGTGCTTGCTTGGCATGTATGAGGCACTAGGCTGGATTCTCAGCACCACATATAAAGGTCTATCAACAACTTAAAAAAAAAAAAAAGAATAAAGTCCACCAGAAGACATAGGTACTGGAAAATAAATCAAAGCTTCCTCCTTCTCTCTGGTGCCCAAAAGCTCCTCAAATCTACCAACCCCAGAAACTTACTATTCAAGCAACATCAGTCAACCCTTGATCTTAGAACAAGGTATGATGGAGGAGAAGAGAAAACAATAGTTTGCATATCCCCTTCCCCCTTCTCAGTGGAAAAGTGGAAAGACCAGGCTTAAAGAAGAGATGCTGATTTCTGACTGAGTTCTCAGGGAACACTTCTCTGCCATAAAATTTTCCTTCACTTCCCATTCCTTTCTCTTTCCAGGGGAAGCTTCTTCATTCAACTGTCTGTTCTCTGGGCTGAAAGTTAACTTTCCTTTGTCTGGCCAGACCACTCTGAACATGCCACTGTACCCTGCTCTGCTATGCCAGAGTTCAAGCAGAGAAGCTGCCAATATGCCCTTTATCAGAGGAAGGGAGGCAGTCTCTCAAGGGAACTCTGCTTACTGAGGTAGAGACTCCTATAGCAGCAAATGGCACATACTGCCCTCCCTTGGAGACCTCAGAGAAATCTTTTTACTAAGGCTGCAGTTACAGAAGAGCAAAAAGGAAGGGATTGAGAGGCAGGTCCTGACCAGAGAGGTCTCAAGTCTCAGAAGAGTACCTGTAAGGACAAGGAAAAGGTTGCCTGTCATGAGGGCTTAATTAACCGGCCCACCTGAGAAGGAGGGTGCTGGGAAAATGAAAGGGGCAAATCTTATAGACAACTGAATACATAGGAGGGTGTAGAAGGAAAGTGCTCCAAAGCTGATGACAAGGCAGGCAGGAAACCTCCTTGTCTGTGCTGACAGGAAAGGAAGGGTGAAATTCTGGGTCTTGTCTCTGCAGGATTTCCAATAGGCATCTGAAGTTCCCGCTCTTCCCAAGGGCGTGCTGACAGCTGGGAATACTGCCCTTCAGGTCAGGCAGGGCAGAGATCTAGACCTCTCAGGAGGTCACCAAGAGGTTCAGCAAGGACTTAAGCATGAGCCCATACACAAATGGGACTGCCATTTCCTGTTGGGTTTCCATGCTATAAAAAAGTGGGGGAGAATTGCCAACTACAAAGTGCTCTCGCTGTCTTTTGTGGAAAATGGAGTATGCAATGTATCCAGCTCCAGATTCTGACTTGTAAATCTAAATGAGAACTAACTAGTTGCTAGATGTTGGAGGCTTACAGTATTAAACAGACATCCCTCCACCCTCACCTGCTAGCATTTCTGCTTGCTGTTCATGGATTTTCAGGGAGCTGATGACAAAATTGTCTTGAGCTATCAGAGCAAGGGCAGTCTTGGGCTTTGGCAGCTCCTTCTGAACACCAGTTCACTGTCCTGAGTTCTTAAACAGCTCTGATGGAACAAGCCATCTGTGAGGGTTATTTAACTTGGAGCTGGAAGACGGTGAGGATGTGGAAAAAATAAACTGTGCAGCCAAAGGATAGGGCCTGAGCAAGAAGGCAGGTGGCATGTTCATGGAAGTGTGTGCCAGGGCTGAGAGTTGGGTGAAAGGAATGGTGCCGAAAGGAGGCCAGCATGGGAAGGACTGAAATGCCCAGGACAGTATGGTTTTATTTCAAAAGTAATGTTTTGTTGTTTTCCTTCAAGGGCTCACTTGTGGGTTTCTGTTTCTAGGAGAATCCTGGGATATCTGACTGTAGCACACTTGCCCTGCCTTCTGCAAAGCTACCTGAAGCCTGCCTAACTTCTTGCTGGACCTAAATCTTAGCCTACAAGGTAAATCTAATAGGTTTTTGACATCTAAAACCACAAGATAAGAGCAATAGATGAAAGGATAGAAATGAGAATGGTGGAGGATTTGAAGGAATGTGCAGGAATTACAGAAAACAACAGAAACTGCAGAATGATCTGGGAAGATGAACAGGAATGAGATGTGTGACTGGATTATAACTCTTTGGAGTCCTCTTAACAGTCCTCCCCTCACTAGCAAAACATACATTGAAAGAGACTTTTTAAAAAAAATTTTTTTTAAATTTTTTGCACCAGGGATCAAACCCATGGGCACTTGTCCACTGAGCCACATCCCTAGCACTTTTTTTTTAAAGTTGTAGATGGACACAATACCTTTACTTTATTTTTATTTAGTGCTGGGATCAAACCCAGTGCCTCATACATGCTCTGCAAGTGCTTTACAACTGAGTCACAACCCAGCCCCCCCCAGCTCTTTTTATTAAGACAGGGTCTCACTAAGTTGCTTAGGGCTTCAAAAAGTTGCTAAGTCTGGCTCTAAACTTTTGATTCTCCTGCCTCAGCCTCTGGGATGATAGGCATGTGCCACTGTGACCAGTGAGAGAGACTTATTTTAAAAGTCTAGAAATATTTATTTATTTTTATTATTGCTATTATTATTATGACTTTGCAATAATGGGGATTAAATCCAGGGGTGCTGTACCTGTGAGTTACATTCCCAGCCCTTATTTTTTTTGAGACAGAGTCCAGCTAAACTGTGGAGGCTGTCCTTGAACTTAAGATCCTCCTGCCTCAGCCTCCCAAATTACTGGGATTGCAGGTATGTACTACCACACCTAGCTATGCTTATTTCATTTAATCTTTACTGAAATCTGATCATGCTCATTTTATTAAAGGACTAAAGGAATTATCTAGTGTTTTCTTCTGATTAGCACAGAGCGTAATGAAAACTATGACTTACATCTAGAATAGAAAGATGTATTTTTCTGCAGGTCATTCTGGTAAAATGGCATTAGAGTTGATATCTCATGTGATCCATTCTTTTTTTGTGTGTGTGTGTGTGATCCATTCTTGATCACCAAGTTTATGTTGTATATCCTGAAGGTTTTGAAAAAGAGGCAAATAAGCTGCTGTGTGTATATATATATATATAATTATATATATATAAATAAAACTGTTTTTCTTTTCTTTTCTTTTCTTTTTTTTTTTTTTTTTGTGTGCAGTGCTGGTGATTGAACCAGGGTATGAACATGCTAGGCATGTGTTCTACCACTGAACTACACTCCAAGCCCTATTTCTGGTTATTTATTAAATCTTTCCAAGTAAGTAAACCAAGAACAGGCTTAAAAGACACCAACTATGAATGGGGCTTACTCTACGTTTGAAGCACAAACCTAGAAGGATATGCGAACAGTTATAAACTACTTTGAAGTATAGTTTCAGTGCTATATACTGATAAGACAGAAGAAAGAGGATAAAATTGTACCAGCCTGTACTAGGGAAACCTACATGCAGCCTCAACTTTTGTGTGTATGTGTCATTGGGGATCAAATCCAAGGCCTGAAGCATAATAGGCAGGCCATTCTATCACTGACCTATACTTCTAGGCCCAGTATTAGTACATTTAAAAAAAATATTTTTATTTAGTTGTAAAAGATGGACACTATACCTTTATTTATTTATCTTTATGTGGTGCACAGGATCGAACCCAGTGCCTCACCCGTGCTAGGCGAGTGCTCTACCACTGAGCCACAACCCCAGACCAGTATTATTATTATTATTTTTGCAGTACTTGGGATCTAACCCAGCTCATACACATGCTAAGCAAATGCTCTGAGCTACATTCCCCCATCCTTTATTTATTTTTATGTTTAGACAGGCTCTTACTAAGTTGCTCAGTGTGGCTTTAAACTTTTTTTTAATTGGTTCTTTTTAGTTATACACAACAGCAGAATCCATTTTGACAAAATTATACAAGCATGGACTATATCTTATTGAATTTTCTTTTTGGTATCACAGATTGAACCCAGGGATGCTTAGCCACTGAGCTACATCTCAAACCCTTCTTTTTTATTTTGAGACAGCATCTCATTAAGTTGCTTAGGGCCTCACACTAAATTGCTAAGGTTGGCCTTGAACTTGTGATCCTCCTGTCTCAGCCTCCTGAGTTGCTGGGATTACAGGTGTACTCTACCATACCTGGCTAAACTTTTTAAAAATGCCAACATATAACTAAAAGTTGTCACTGAATTCTTTTGTTTAGGATAAAGTCACTTTTGCTGATAAATCAGTAAAGAAGCTCAAAGAGAGCATCTCATCTGAGAGGCATTCATGACATGGTGGAAACCTAGCTTCAAGTGTTGGGCCAAACTAAGGCTGCATAGTACATGTGGTTTAAAAACACAGCACATGAAGCTGGGTATGGTGGTGCATGCCTGTAATCACAGCAGCTCAGGAGGCTGTGAGGATTGTGAGTTCAAAGCTAGCCTCAGCAATGATGAGGCACCAAGCAACTTAGTAAGACCCTGTCTCTAAATAAAATACAAAATAGGATGGGGATGTGGCCCTGTGTTTGAGTGCCTTTGATTCAATACCTGATACCCAAAATAAATAACAACAACAACAACAAGATAGCACATGATACAAACAAATGGCACACAAAAGGTTGAATTTTAAAAACAAAATCATCTTACTCACCTCTGGTTTCTAGACCCTCTGTTCCCCATCCTGAGAGTATACTTTAATTTATGCATATATTTTCACATGTGATTATCTATGAGCTTCTTAGTTTTTATAGATAAAGCACATTTTATAGCAAATGCTAAGGATTATCAATAATTAACTTTTGGAACTGACCCAGAAAACTTAACATGTTTATTGTAATACATTTCTCTGTGTTGGCAGGACTGACAGGAAGAACTGGTAAAGGCAGAAAGAAAAGCAAAGAGGAGAAAACTCCTGAAGATGACCCAAGTCCATCAGTCATGCTCAAGTTCAGCAGGCCTGGGAGTAGTCAGCAACCACATATTCCTTAGTCAGGTAGGGTCTCAAAGGACAAAAGGCTGGACACAGAGGGCTGCATTTGTGACACAAAAGCACGTGAAAAGAATATGTATGTATGTGCACCTAGTCTGCATGCTGCCCAGGAAATACATTTCTTTTCTCCCAAGACCATACTTTCCAAACATTTTAAAGTGTCCCACTGAACGTATTCAATAAATATTAAGCATCTGCTATGGTATGGCAGGCCCTATTAAAGGCACAAAAATTTAGCAAAGGATAAAACAATGTTCCTGCTCTCATGGAGCCTAATATTCCTGTGAGATAGATAATCAGATAGTGGTGGGAAGCACTGTGAGAAAAATAAGGCAGGATAAGAAGGACAGAGTATCTATCTGGGTGAGGAAGAAATATTGTTATTTTCTATAAGATAGACAGGGACAGGATTTTAGATGACAATTGATCAGGAGTGAGCCACAAAGCAGAGAGGGCTTCCTGGGTTGGTAACTGGAGTGCCAGGGAGTCTACACACTATTACACAGTATAAAGGAAGGAGAACTAGCTTTTCTAGCTCAGTTCAGTGAGAGAAGAGGCCTTTGAGAGATTATGCAGCTTGCACACCCTCCATGTAGTTTCTGGAAAGCTTCCATCACACATGAGAGTTTTATGTTGAATTTTAAGTTTGACCACAAATATTTAAACTTCCCTGGACCACAAATACAGTATCTTCTCTGTGGTTTAGCTGGCACCAAGTACATGTTATGAATCTCTATATGTCTGCCTGTTATTTAAATTTCTTACAGAAGTGCCAAGGTCTTTAGTTGTGATTTACCTTCTTCCACTCCATACTGGTGGGTATGAACCTTAATCAGGCCTAATTCTTAAGGAAAGGAGAAATATTTACCATTGAAGATTAGATTTTTAAAATATATTTTTTAAAAATCTATTTTTTAGCTATAGTTGGACACAATACCTTTATTTTATTTATTTATGTGTGGTACTGACGATCGAACTCAGGGCCTCATACATGCTAGGCAAATGCTCTACTGCTGAGCCACAACCCTAGCTCCTGAAGCTTAGATTTTTAACTATGAAGTTAAATTTCCCCTTATTACTTTTCTCTTCAAAAAATGTCAATGGAGGGTCTATTTTAAGTTCTTATATTTGAAATAAAATATAAAAATTGAAAAATTTCTGTGCTGTTTTCACTCAAGTTGAGAATAAAACTTAGAGCTAAATAAATCTTTAACTATACTAAAAAGCAAAACATGAAGGAATAATGAGCTCCAAATATCTAAATATGTACTCTTTCTTACTTACCAATTCCTGAGAATTATGACCTGCACTAGAATTACAAAGAATATAGAAAACAGCCCCTGCTCCCCAGCTGAGCCATAGACAAGTTGGCCTGGGAAAGGGCTTTGGCTCCCCAAGCACACAAAATTCTCAAAGGGTTCCTTGGGTTATCCCTAATCAAAGGGTCAGTTTCTCTTACATAAGTGCCAAGAGAGCCATGTGGCATTTTTATCAAATGAAGGCACATAGGCAGATCATCTGAAACTCAGGAGTGTCAAAACAATCACTCCTACTTCATTCTAGATATTTGTCACTGTCTTCCTCCTTCTCTTAATGGGCCTTTGGGCTGTGATTCTCTCTTATATCCAGATTGTCTCTGTGTGTGTGTGTGTGTGTGTGTGTGTGTGTGTGTGTGTGTGTGTGTGCGCGCGCACGCTGCGGGGAGCCAAGCCAGGAAATTGAGTTTTATAGGAGAATAGCAGAGCTATTTGTTATGAAGTATCAAACCCGTGCAAACACATTCTAAGTACAATGCCTACCTTAATAAAATGACCAATAACTTTCAAAGTATCCAACCTGAAAGGCTAGAAATACATTTTTAAAAAAACTAGCATCAACCTCTAATTAGAAGGACTTCAAATGCATGTTTCTTGGTAAAGGAAGGAGACCCTCATTGTTATACAAAATTACATATAAGAGGAAGTGAGGGGAAAGGGGGAAAAAAAGAGAGAGAAATGAATTACAGTAGATGGGGTAGAGAGAGAAGATGGGAGGAGAGGGGAGGGGGGATAGTAGAGGATAGGAAGGGCAGCAGAATACAACACACACTAGTATGGCAGTATGTAAAAAAGTGGATGTGGAACCGATGTGAATCTGCAATATGTATACGGGGTAAAAATGGGAGTTCATAATCTGCTTGAATCAAATGTATGAAATATGTCAAGAGCTTTGTAATGTTTTGAACAACTAATAAAAAAATAAAAACAAAATCAAATGCATATTTCTAACTCATCTACCCTTCCAATTCTCTAGTGAAATGACTGAAGAAAAAAGCAACTACATACCAGAAACTTTGAGGAATTTTATGCAAGATAAACTGCAGAGGAGACTGGAATGAGGAAAAAGGACAACTGATGTTCCACACTTTGTGGGCTCAATAAGAACACAAAGGAAAGCTTAGCAGCAGTACCTCACTAATAATAACCTTACCTTGGAAGAACTAGGACAAGAGCCAAGGTGTGCGGGGATACGTTAGAAGGGTACACCTAGGTTTTACCAAGGCTAATGGGCTAGGTTTACAATTAATGTGGGTGATTAGATGAGGCAGAAGGAGGACAATTGCTTTCTTTTTCTTTTTCTGGTGCTGGGGATCGATCCCAGGATCTCACACATGGTAGGCATTCTACCACTGAGCTACGACCCCTGCCCTGGCTGGCTTCTAACAGAGGCAAAAAAACTAGAATAGGAACACTAAGTTGAGAAATTTGGTCTACTGCAATAAACACTGGATTTAGCTATAGTGACATCTAGCCCTAGCTGCTTCTCTACTATCCTTTAGAAGAGTTTAACTCCAATAGTGTAAATCAAACGTTCCTCTTTTCCCTTTATCTGTACCTGAAAATCTTAAGAACCATCTAAACTCAAAACAAATATAGCTAAGGATGGAAAAATAATTCACCAAATAAATAAAAAGGCATTACAGAAAGGTACCAATCTGAGGAATTAGTACAAAAAGTCATTGAAAAAATAAGCACAAATTTTAGAAACCTTAAGTTAATAAGATTTCATAGTAGTGGCACAAAGATAGATGAATAAACCACTAGAGCAGAACAGAGTCTAGAAAGAGATCCAAATATATATAACCACCTGACGGATGACAAGGCAACATGTGATTCAGTGGGGAAAACTGATCTTTCAATAAATGATTCTGGGTTAGTTAGATATCTATATGGAAAAAAATTAACCTTGCTCCTACCTCATGCCATATATAAGGTCCAGGACCATAAACCTAAACATGAAAGATAATACAACCTCTTGAAGAAAATATAGACTATTTTCCTGACAAGCAAACATTTCTTTCTTTCTTCTTCTTCTTCTTCTTTTAAATTTAACAGAGTTTCAAACATTTCTTAAATAGAACACAAAAAGCACTAAGCAGCTGGGTGTGGTGGTGTATGCCTATAGTCCTAGTTACTCAGGAGGCTGAGGCAGGAGGATCATTTGAGTTCAGGAATTTGAATTTTTACTGGGCAACACAGGGAGACCTCTTCTCAATCAATCAATCAATCAAATTAACTGAGTTTAAACTTAACATTACTGAATATTACTAAACCTCAATAAAAGTAAGAATCAAGTAACTGCATTTCAATCTAGATTAGGCAGTTATATAGAGAAAAACAACCAGGAAAAACCATAGGAAATGCAGTGAGCAGCAGTTAAATAGAATAGAAAACTGAAAACAAAACTCCCCCATAAAAAAAAAAGAAAAAAGAAAAAAGAAAAAGACCAGAAAACTGAATTAGTAAAATAAATGACTTGATGGAGCCTCTACTATAATACAGAGGAGAAAATACAGTTGAAAATATTGGGGGAAAAAATTAAAAATGTGGACACATAACCCAAATCTTTACAAGTTATTCCAGAATTAAGAGGACTGATAGGAAAAGAACAATAATTTTTTTTCTTTTTTTTAAGAGAGAGAGAGAGAGAGAGAGAGAGAGAGAGAGAGAGAGAGAG